CAGCTTCTGGCAAACAGAGGCTAGAGACACCATCCCTGCCCATCCTGGCTAATAGCCATTGATGGACCTATTCTCCATGAACTTATCTAGTTCTTTCTTGACCCCTGCTATAGTCTTGGCCTTCACAACATCCTCCGGCAAGGAGTTCCACAGATTAACTGTGCGTTGTATGAAGAAATACTTCCTTTTGTTTGTTTTAAACCCAGTGCCTATTAATTTCATTTGGTGACCCCTAGTTCTTGTGTTATGAGACAGCGTAAATAACACTTCCTTATTTACTTTCTCCACACCAGTCATGATTTTATAGACCTCAATCATATTCCCCCCTTAGTGGTCTCTTTTCCAAGCTGAAAAGTCCCAGTAATCTCTTCTCATATGGAAGCCGTTCCAAACCCCATATCATTTTTGTTGCCCTTTTCTGAACTTTTCCTATTCCAATATATCTTTTTTGAGATGGGGCGACCACATCTGCACGCAGTATTCAAGATGTGGGCATACCATGGATTTATATAGAGGCAATATGATAGGGATATTTTCTGTCTTATTATCTTTCTTAATGATGCCCAACATTCTGTTCACTTTTTTGACTGCCGCTGCACATTAAGTGGATGTTTTCAGAGAACTATCCACACTGACTCCAAGATCTCTTTCTTGAGTGGTAACAGCTAATTTAGACCGCATCATTTGGTATGTATAGTTGGAATTATGTTTTCCAATGTGCATTACTTTGCATTTATCAACATTGAATTTCATCTGCCATTTTGTTGCCCAGTCAACCAATTTTGAGAGATCCTTTTGTAGCTCTTCACAGTCTGCTTGGGACTTAACTATCTTGAGTAGTTTTGTATCATCTGCAAATTTTGCCACCTCACTGTTTACCCCTTTCTCCAGATCATTTATGAATATGTTGAATAGGACTGGGCCCAGTACAGACCCCTGGGGGACACCACCATTTACCTCTCTCCATTCTGAAAACTGACCATTTATTTCCACCCTTTGTTTCCTATCTTTTAACCAGTTAACAATCCAGCTACACCGACCCTCTCTGTGCCATACGTTAGAGCAGAGGTACAAGGCAGAAGGAGTCACTCGCTCATCATGCATCAGTCTGTAGAGATGGTGCAGAGGTTGTTTATAATTGTGGAGTACAGGGGAGGACTGAGGTTTATTACAAAGAAGGACTTGTAAACAGGAAGAGCATGTGGCCCTGGGGGTAGGTTTAATAGCGATGCCTGGTGCACTCGGGAAGCGGATATAGCTGGTTAATGAGGGGTCCCTGCTCCCAGCGCCCTGTCTGTGACTGGGATCCCAGCTGGTACATACACAGTGCGGGTCACAGGGAGCACACATCCAGCACTTTCCGGCTCTACAGAGGATGTGTGGCTTGTCGGGTCACTGCTGAGCTTCATGGGTTGGAGTAGTTCTGGGTGCTGGATGTGACCCTGGATGCTTAATAGCCTTCCCACCCATGCCCTTGTCCCACCTTCCTGTCTTGCTGTACACCAGAGCCAGCAGCTGCGATTCGTTATCTAACATCCCATATGGCGCTATAAGGAATCAGAGGGAAGGAGCATAAACAGATGAATGACTCTGCCTGGCACAAGCCGCTCTCTTTCTCCTGGAGTGGAATCTGATTCTGGACTGACCCTGTGACACTCCCCCAATCACCAAGAAGAAGAAAATGGACAGAAAGACAGGGAGGGCCTCTGGGACCCTGTGTCAGTGGAATGGGAGGGTTGGGGGCCCTGAGCGCTGCTCAGGCAGGAGGAATATATGGAAATCGCCTGTGAACAAATAACTGACAATAGCAATTATGGCAGGGCTCTGAACTGGGGGCTGTTCTGTGCCCCAACCGCCCCCCACCCTGATCTCTTAAGCCCTTCCCAGGGAGAGGGAGTGTTCTGTGGAAGTGAGGGCTGAGAGTGCATATTAGTGGTTTAAGGATGAACACTTTTGCAGGGACGTTACAATTATTCCCTAAACAAGAATCAGAAACTCTGAGCATTCAGAGCTAATCTTAAATGTGAAAGAATCCCAGAGGGTCGGGAAATGTGCGGCGAAGGTGCTCAAACGGCCGTAACTGTGCCTTGCACTGGCCTTTGGTCCTCCTTTTTTTTTGTTCTTTTCTTATTTAAGCACTGAACCTATGACTGATGGTTTGTGCTATTGGAGGTGGGGGGTGAACAGCTTTCATTTAGGGCTTTAAGAACTCATGGATGATGGCAGGCCACGTGTAGCCTGGAAACCTTTGCCAGTATAGTAATGATGGTCTAGCTAGTCCGTATAGCTACATGGCAATACCCTCTCTAGTGTAGACAAGACCTGAGTTTGGAAAAGTCAGTTTCCAAAAAGACATGGGTGGGTGGAGGGCTGGCTAATCAGCTGAATACGAGCACCCAGTCCAATGCTGTGACCAAAAGGGCTAATGCGATCTTTGGATGCATGAACAGGGGAATCTCAAGTAGGTGTAGCAAGGTTATTTTACCTCCATATTTGACACTGGTGCAACTGATGCTGGAATACAGTGTCCAGTTCTGGTGTCCACAATTCAAGAAGGATGTTGAAAAGTTGGAGAGGATTCAGAGAAGAGCCACGAGAATGATTAAGAATTAAAAAACCTGCCCTATAGTGATAGACTCAAGGAGCTCAATCTATTTAGCTTAACAAAAAGGTTAGGGGTGTGCAATTACAGTCTATGAGTACCTACGTGGGGAACAAATATTAATAATGGACTCCTCAATCTAACAGAGAAAGGTATAACATGATCCAATGGCTGGAGGTTGGAGCTACACAAATTCAGACTGGAAATAAGGCGTACATTGTTAACAGTGAGTATAATTAACCATTGGAACAATGTACCAAGGGTCACGGTGGATTCTCTATCACTGGCAATTTTTAAATCGAGATTGGCTGTTTTTCTAAAAGATCTGTTCTAGGAATTGTTGTGGGGCAGTTCTCTGGCCTGTGTTATGCGGGAGGTCAGACTAGATGGTCACAGTGGTCCCTTCTAGCCTTGGAATCTAGGAATAATTGTCCCATGATCCGGCCCCTCCCATCCTCATCTTCTCTTTGACACCTTTTGTCACCATGTCTCTAAGGTGTTTGCATCCTAGGGCTGAAAAAGTCAGGTGTTTTGAAAGAGCTCTTTGGGGCTGATCTTCAATCCCTTTGAGCTGCTCACATTTCTGAATAACATCATAAAACCATTCTTGAAAATACAGCCGACACTTGCAAAGCAGAATGCCTAAAGTCAGGCTCCGAAGCCCACCGTTGCTTAGACCCATATCTAGGCATCTGGGGCCAGATTTTCAAAGAGTTCAGTATCTGACAGCTCCTATTTAAAGCACCTAAATGAAGCAGACAGATTTTTGAAAGTGACCAACCCTCAGAAGAGTATATGAAGAATAACAGGAGAGGCTGAGCAGCCTGCAAGCCTGGCCTCTGTATTTAAGTGCTGAAGAGCTTGTGCTTACTAGACTTTTGCATATCCCATGAACTGATTGCCAATTATCTCAAAATACTTAACATCTCTGTATGGGCTGGTTCTGATCTAGGGGCTTGGCACTGCCCTCAGAGCACCTGCTAAGCTCCTGCCGAAATCCATGGACTTCCCGTCCTGCCAACTTTGGGAATTTTGTCAGAAGTCTTGCAGTAATTGCTTTTTGTAAAGCCTCAGCTCCTGGAGTCAGAGGAATCTCAGCTTTCATTTTTAAAAAAGTTTTAGCCCTTCTGATTGCGGAGGAAAGCATAACCCAAGTGTGTCCTAAGGGCAACAAAAAAAACCCCAGCACTGACTATTAAACAAACCTCCTGATTTTAACCAGGTCTCCTGACTTTGGGACCTGACTGATGGGTTTTGAACACTTGGCCTTGGAGACATTGGCACATGCATGCATGAGCCCTCGCTCCAGTCAGGTTGGTTCTAAGCTGTAGTTTGTCTCTGGCTAGTTCAGGAGAACTGGGAGCTGGGCTCAGTCTGTGCTGAGTGTGTTTTTATGGCTTTGAGAGAGATTTTGGGAGGCCTGGGCAGCTGACCAGTAGCACATTCATAAAGTTATGGCAGGAATCACTGGAGGTGCTGTTACATACAGCCTGCAATTTCCTGTTCGCTTGCCAGCAGTGTTCAGTCTTGGAAGGAATGCTGTGTAGTCATTCCATCAGTGGTGCAGTTTCTTTGTAGGGGAGCTGTGCAAGCAGCAAGGGGTGGAGGGATTGCTCTGTCCCAGTCATTCCGACTAGACCTCTTCCGTGGGCCACGGTTGCTTCCCAGGCACTGGGCGTCGGTGTTGGACACTTGGCTAAGAGGCTGGGAAGGGGAGGCTGACGGTGGGTGGAGTCCTCTTACTGCTGTTTGGATATGCAATAGGGTGACCAGATAGGGACAGTCCCGATATTCTGGACTTTGTCATATATAGGCACCTATTAACCCGCACCACCTTCCTGATTTTTCACACTTGCTATCTGGTCACCCTAATATGCAAACAGCTGGCAACAGGCATGGTACAAAGTCCCTGATCCACCCAGCTCTGAACCTGGTGGCACTGGGTCCAAATCTGAACATGGGACCCAGCCTCTCTGTGGGAACACTGAGGGGGGCGGCATCTATAGCTGAGAGACTAGCTGGGAGCAAAGGAGTAGGGGGTGAGGGATGGGACAGTTTGATCCATTTCTCAGTGAAGGTAGTTGGAAGGGCTGCACAGTGGGATTTCCAGCGGGGAACAGCTTGCACAGCTCCCTTGGCTCAGTGACGGGGCCTCGCCAGCACCTCTCCAGGCAGTCCCAGCCATGGCCATGCCAGCGTGCAGCCAAAACCCCACCAGCCCCGTCTGGGGCTCTGGGACTCAGTTAGCTCAGAGCATTGTGGTGCTGTGCGGCTGTGCACAGAGGGACGCTGCCGTGATCACGGCCCGACAAAACGGGATTCTGGGTAACCCGCGGCTGTCTCTGGAAACCAAGCAACTGTCTGACCTATTGCCCCTCCCTCCCTCCCTCCCTCTCAGCAGCATTATCTGACCATGGTGAAACTGGGCAGCAATCTCTGTGAGAAGCTGGACAAGGAGCAGGGCACCGGCAGCGGTGATGACAGCTTTGACAACATCCCTTTGATAACGCCGCTGGACGTCAACCAGCTACAGCAGCCCTTCCCTGACAAGGTAATACCAGCGGTGCCCCTCGGTGGCCAACACCAAGTGCAAGTCCCCTCTGCCCCTGCTGGCCCCCTCACCCTGTCTGATGGGGCAGCAGTGGTGCTTTGCTGCTTCATTTGCCTCTCAGGAGCTATTAATCACTTTCCGGTTCTCCCGGGGCCCTGTGCTGTGTGTGAAACCAGCAGCCAAGCCCAGCATGCCCCCTGTTCCCACAATCCCCCTGCTGAGGTTGGGTTTGCTCAAGGGGAATTGGACTGTGCCAGCTCGGATGTGCGCGGCCATGTCCCAACACGTTCAGGGGAACTCAACAATAGTCAGTGCAGCAGAATCCACCCTTGGGCCAGTGACAAAGGGGCCACAATTTCCTTCGTGAGTGAAAATTACCTCACACGATTTTTTTCTGAAAAGGAAAAAAACAATGAAGTGAATAAAATTGAGTTTCTTCTGGATTCGGTTATGTGGGGGCGTGATTAACCAGGGGCGCCTCACCTTTTCCCATAGTAGAGCCAGGCTCTCAGATGGTGTAAATTGGGCTCTTCGTGCCAGCTGGGGACCTGGGCCAGAATTGCTCTCAGGCCATGGTGTCTGTGCCTCTTTATTTGCTGGTTCGAGAACATGGACAGATGCTGTGCTTAGCCCGTAGCTAAGCTTTGAGACTAAAGCTAACGTTCAGAACTGACAGCACTCTGATAGCAGCTCCATCACCCCCTCACCACAGGCCCCTCGCTCTCCCAAGGTAGGGTCCTCCCCCTGGGGCTCACTGAGCAAAAACATGCCATCTGCATGCTAGCTAGTCAGTGTGTGCAAGCCAATGTGTGCAAATAGGTCTCTGGTTCTGTGCAACACTTTTGTTTCCCAGGAGTGAGGGATGGACACTTTTGCAGAAAGGAGCCAATTCAGGGAAATCCAAACTTCTTTGTGAACAATTGGCAAACACAACACTGGGTCTGGGTTTGCTCAAGGGGAATTGGACTGTGCCAGCCGGGATGTGTGCAGCCATGCCCCAACACGTTCAGGGGAACTCAACAATAGTCAGTGCAGCAGAATCCACCCTTGGGCCAGTGATTCTCGTTTGCACTAAGGCCGCTATACGTTGCTGTGCCACTGTAAAGGGGTCTTACAGTGTGCACATGTACCCTGCCAGAACAAGTGGTGGAAAGGAGCATTGGTGTGAATGAGACTCCACCCCTATGTGTATGCTGGGGCCTCTGTGGAGGGCTGGAGGACAAGGGTGGAGTGAGGCAGGAAGCAGGAACAGGTGGAAAGGCAGGGCTCAGCAGTCAGGCAAGTAGGCAGGGTCTGTAGTAGGAGCTAGTCAAGATTCCTCTACTTGCTCAGACAACTTCCTGTGTCTCTTTCTGGTTTATATAGAGCTTCCCAGCCAATCAGTGGGGCTGGACATCTCCCCCAGTCAGGAGCTTTGTGGGTGGGGCCCTTTGTGAGGTAGAGCTTTACTGGCCCCCTTCTCCAGTCATTCAGGTGAACTGCTGGGTAGTGGCCATGGTTTGAATACTGTCTGGGGATGCCCGGGTCCGAGGCCTGCCATCCTTCACATCATCCCCTCTCTTAGGGCACCCTCTGCTGGGAGGGGCAGTTGGGAGTGGTGAGGAAATTGGTCCTGAATGTGGGTTGTAACATCCATGAGTGTCTGCCAGGAATGCATGTTAAACAGTCTTGGACCAGAATAAACCAGATGGGACTCAGCCTCCCTTATCGGCCTTATCAAAATGCTCATGCAGTTGGCTTTTTCCAACCAAAAAACATTGTCGGAAAAATTGCCAGCTGGCTGTTGGCTGAGCACCCTCTGCCCGATGGCCAAAGTTGGGGCTGTTGGGTTGGGGACTTGGAGCTGCCCCATGTGATGCTGTCTCTGTCGTCTCTCTCCTTAAGCCCAATTTCTCAGCTCTGTGTTTTGGATGGACAGTCTTTGCTCCTCTCTGCTAACCTGGGGTTTTCAACTGCATGCAATAACTTCAGTCTCACTATTAACATCAAGAAGACTGAGGTCATGCACCAGCCAGCTCCCCACGCTCCGTATTCAGAACCGTCCATCACTGTAAATGGACAGAGACTTCAGACAGTGGACCACTTCATGTACCTGGGCAGTATTCTTTCCCGAGCAGTGTCAATCGATGATGAAGTAAACTGCAGAATTGCTAAAGCCAGCTCTGCATTTGGCCGATTGCGCTTCAATGTTTGGGAACGTCGAGGGATCAGCCTATCAATGAAGCTGAAGGTCTACCGAGCAGTGGTGTTTCCAACTCTGCTGTACGCCTGCGAGACGTGGACTGTCTATCGGAGTCATGCACGAAGGCTCAATCACTTCCACATTTCCTGTCTGCGAAAGCTTCTAAAAATCAGATGGCAGGACAAAGTACCCGATACTGATGTCCTTACTAGAGCCAGTCTGCTGTCAGTTCACACATTGCTGATGAGAGCCCAGACCAGGTGGGCCGGACATGTTGTGAGAATGTCAGATGAACGCATTCCTAAACAGCTCTTCTACGGAGAACTCACTCAGGGAAAGCGCTCCCATGGAGGACAAAAGAAGCAATTCAAGGACACGCTGAAGACCTCTTTGAAGTCCTTCGAGATCAACACCGCCACATGGGAAACCTTCGCACTGAACCATTCAGCATGGCGTAGCCTCATTCACACAGGCAGTAATACCTCTGAGGCGAGGCGTATTGCTGAGGCTGAAAAAAAGCGTGAGCTGCGCAAGTCCAGAGCTGCTCGTACATCATCGACAGTGCCATTACATGTTTGCCCAATGTGTGACAGGACGTTTCACACCCGAATCGTACTGATCAGTCATCTTCGGACGCACAAAGCCTGGTCATCGAAAGAATGAGTTGTTGAGGTCTTCATCGATAACGATGGACGAACATCATCATCACTGGGGGGAGCGAGTGTCTCTGCATTTCAGTCTCCCCTGGCCCTGGCTCCTCCATCACTCCTCTCGCTTTGTGCTTTGTGGCGCCCATTCTCCACTGCATCAGAGCAGCACTTGGACATAGCGGAGAGTGGGAGTGCAGAGAGCCAGCGGCAGCTTCCTGCCCCTTGGCTGCCCAGCCCTGGAGAAGGTTAGGCCAGAGGGGACTTACTGTAATGTCACCAGAATAAGCCTGGGCCCACAACACCCTGGCCCATCCCCTCCTTCCATTGATGTGGGGAGAGGGTGTGGAAAGTGGCTATGCAATCAGAGAGTCCCCAGCATGGGGAGCTCTGCTGAGAATTTCTAGCTGCTCCATGCTGCATAAGAGGCTGTATCAGACCAGAGAATCTGGCCCAGTGTCTCCAGTGTCCCACTTGTCCCTTGGCATGTGGTGAGAGTTTTGCTTGGCTTTGCGCACATCTCTGTTGGGGGTCTGATGCCAGGCTGCCGGTTGTGGGCAGGGAGCCATGGTTTGCTCTTGCCTTGTCTCTGTTGGTGCCAGTCACTCTTGTATTCGTCTCCCGTGTCACTGGTTCTGGAGATGGAGAGGAGGCGAGTTTTGGGGTGTGGCTATACAGAAATGAATGAGGGCTCGCTCTGGAGTGAGCGTGTGGCTTTGGGTTGGGGGGTGTTTGCTGCTGGAGTGGTACCAAGGGGCTGGTGTCCTCGTGCGGTGTTGGTCGGGGGATCACAGCTGTTGTTACCGGGAGTTCAGGGCACAGACTTTGTTGGCACAGTTGCTTTTGGGAGTTTTCTCCCAGTCAGGATGATCGGCTGTTACCACTGGGCCAGACCTCACTCCTTATTGGAGAAGGAGTTGGGTGACGCTGCAGAAGGGTATTAACCGAGGGCTGTATTCATCCAGTGGTTTCTTTATGGCACAGGAGGTCTGTAGGGCTTCTCTGGCACTGTAACAGAAAGTCTGCAGCTCCTCGGCCATGTCCACACTACAAAATTATGACGACCTAACTTATGTCAGATACAGCCACCACGGTTATTAAATCACTTGTGTGTGTGCACACTCAGCTTCTTGTGTCAGCGGTGTGCATCCTCACCAGGAGTGCTTGTGTCGATTGCATTGTCAGCATGGGGCATTGTGGGAAGGCTGCAGGAGGCCAGTAACAGTTGATGTAAGCAACACAGCGTTTAAACTGACACCGCGTCAACTGAATGACATCGACCGTGACTCCGTGCTGCTTGGAGAGGTGGCGTTACTAAATCGGCGTCGAGAGGCACTGACGTGGGCGGAAGCCAAATTGAAGTGAAGACACTTCCACAGCTAGGTCAATGCGAGGCAGCGTATGCCGACCTAACCATGTAACGTAGACCAGGCCTCCATCCGTCTGGTGAAGCATGCCTGTAGCACACGTGTTCAGCTGCTGCTGGGTGCCTGCAGGCAGAGAGGACTTTGGTCAGGACATGGGGACCCTTCAGGGCTTGACTCTGAACTATCCTGGGGGTTATTTTCCAGGTTATCCCTCGTTGGCACATTCTCCTGTGGGCTGTCACAAGAGGACACTGGTGTAATTTGCTGGAGAGTGGGTGTGACAAGTCCCCACCATGCTGATCTGCAGAGGCTATGTGCCTGTTACAGCCCCAGCTACGCAGCCTTGTGCTTTTTGCCTGGGAGGTCCCCACTTCAATCCACAGGGTGCTGACTGTCACAACAGCAGGACCTCGTCACCAGCAACCTGCAGACACTGTGGCCCCAGTGCTCGGCTGCCTGGTGCCCCGAGCGAAGGGAGGGCAGAGTGTTCACCCCCAGTTCGCACTGGGGTTTGACCATATCAGGTGCAGGGAAGGCTTTGGGGCTGGTTTCTCAGCTCCACTCCATCCCATTTGCATTGCTCCTGCAGAGCTTCAGGGACAGAAAACTGCCCTGAGCAGGCTATTCCCTTTGCACAGCGACTCCCTGGCAGGTGTGGACCTGGGTGTGCCGGACGTATCTCATTTCCTCTTGGCCTTCCCAGAAATAAGGCGCACGTTTTTAACAGCGAGGATAATTAACCATTGGATCAACTGACCAAGTGCCGTGGTGGATTCTCCATTGCTGTCAATTTTTAAATCAGGCTTGGATGTTTTCCTAAAGATCTGCTCTAGGGGCAGGGCCAGGTCTCTGGCCTGTGCTGCACAGGTGGTCAGACTAGATGATCACAGTGATCCCTTCTGGCCTTGGGATCTATGACGCTGTGAACATGAATCCCCTGGTTGTGACGCAGTGCCCAGGGCCGTCAGGGCTGTGCCTCTGCAAGCTAGCAATGGGCACGCTCCAGCCGCTGAGCCCTCCAAGCGTCCCCTGGAGTGTCCAGCCCCTGGTCCACTGGACACGCATAGTATTCACAGATACACTGCTCCCAAAGGAACAGTGACCCCAGCCTATACGTTGCATCCCAGATCACAGTTCCGCTTAACACACAGCACCTAGATCTGACTATCGTGAAAACAAGTACAAGTGTATTGAACAAGGTGTAGAGAGTCGAGCAGCAGCGAGCCAAAGTATTGGAAACAAATGGTTACATGTAAAATCAAATCAAAACACGCCTCTAGAGTTCAGATTGAATTAACAAGATGCTGTCCTATCGAATTCATTGTACTTCACGCAAAGTCTTTGCAGCATTTTCCAGCCAGGCTGGCTCTGAGCCCCACCCCCCTTTCCTAAGACGGAAGATGCTGAGGTTTGGCTCCTTGGCAAAGGATGCTGGCAGTACCTCAGTACTCCCAGTTACACCCCAAGAATCCATTGTCTTTGCTTGATAACAGGTTGCCCCCTGCTGGTTTTGCATTTTTCTGCAGTGTTCCTCTGGTAGGTTTTGCACTCTTTTGATTAGCATCAGGCTCAGTAATGCAGAGAGGCCTCCATTGTGATACATACAATGCACGGGACACACCTGACCAGCCAGAGAGATAAGTGTCGTCTGCCCCTGCCTGAACAGAATCTGTCCAAGCCCTGTCACTTCCTGGTGGCCTGCTTTTAATGTCGAGGCTTTAAGGACATAATTCCCACTATAAATACATAACTTCTTAACTATCCCATACGTGCATTTCACTATGACTAGGAGGACCAGTGGGCTACTGGCTCTCTGAAGAGACCTCACATGCCACTCTTGGTGAATTATTAGGGATGTATCTCACCCAGGGGATCCCTGTAAAGTTCCATGCCAGCTGGCATCAAGAGGCCCCTGGGTCCCTCTTGGTGTAGGGGTCATGTTGAGGGTGGGAGAGCCCTGGGGCCTTGTGCTCCAGTCACCACCAGCCAGTGGCATGGTCCCTAGGAGGCTGTTACCACAGCGTAAATAGAGCCCTGTGATTGCTTTAATTTATGCTGTGCTCCTGGCTACCCCTAGGGTAAAGGGGGATGGCTTAAAGCCGCCTTTGCTCCCTCCCCTCCAGTTCTGAGCCAAGCACAGCTCAGCCAGACCTGAGGTTCTGGCCCCTTAAATTTGAGTTGTTTAGCAGGAGCCCAGGCAGATGAATCTGTTCCATGAGGGTCGGTCAGGCCTCAGTGTACGTAGTGGAAAGAGCAGGGCTGAGGTTAGCTTCCTGACTGGTGTGCGTGGCTTGTGTTTGCACCATACCGTTCTGCATCGGTTCATGAATTTAATCAGCTCGTATGTTTTCCCACAGATTCAATGTTTGTAGTGATTTAAGATTCAGGTTTCGGTGCCGGAATGACTCTCTCCTGCTGGAGCAGGGTGCTGTGTTGTAGTGAGCATATCCAGTGGCTCTCCCTGCTGGAGGGTTCCAATGTTTTCTTCATCTGTAGCAGCATCTATGCAATCATTTTACCATTCAAAGCATGATCCTTCCTCACTGGCTGTGTGGCTGGGGATTGCCTGGCTGCTCTGCTGGGGACTCTGTGTTGCTGTAAGGTGCCTTGTGCCCTGGTGTGCGTTCAGAAAGGCCTTTTGGGTGCCCGGTTTTAGATGTGAATTGCTACCCCTCCACGCCATGGGCTGCAGTCATGGCTGTGAGGGACTCCGCCGGCAAATCATGGCCTGGGGGAATCCCTGCTCCCCACAGAACTATACCCCTTGCAGAGAAGGGGGGTAGGGCATTCAGTTGTTACTTCTGGTGCAGTGGTGCATCAAGATCAAGAGATTGTACTCACAGCTGGCGGGCCCATTGTGTTCCCACTGGCACCGCTCGCTAACCATCCCTCTCCATTGATGATTTCCAGGTCATTCTCACTCAGCCGGCAAGTACAGAAAGGATGGTCCAAGATTGCACAGGTGACTAGTCACTCTGAGTGCCTCCCTTCTGGGGCCTGGAGATGCCTTGCAGAGACCAATTTCCAGAGAGCTACTACTCAGAATTTGCTGAAAACCAGCCCCTCTGAAAGGGCCTCAAGTCAGGCTCCCCAAGTCATCTGTGACAATAATGACCATGTATCAGAGGGGTAGCCGTGTTAGTCTGAATCTGTAAAAAGCAACAGAGGGTCCTGTGGCACCTTTAAGACTAATAATGACCATGGTTTCTGTCTCCTGCTAGCCCCAGTTCAGCCTGGCTCCTGATGGCCATGGTGTGTTTTCTCTGCACCACACACCATGTCTGCAGCCAAACACAGCTCGCACTGTGGAATCTGAATGCAGGCCGGCATTGGCAAACCTAGGGACCAGAATTTAGGCTCCTAAATCCACACCCAGTCATGTGAGTCAGAGATTGTCAGTGACACTGAAAAACTGGCTCCTGCTGGTTTCATTCGGTAGGAGCAGGGGGTATGCAGCACCTCTGACAACCAGACCGCTTATGGAGTTAGGTGCCTAGCTTTAGGCATACATGTAGCAAATGGTGACCTGCCCTGCATTGCTGCATGAATCCGGCTGGAGGTCAGGTTGCTTTTTGGTTATTGGCCTCACTACCAAATGAGCAGGACTCTTGGGAGGCCACTTATTGCGGTGCCACTGGGAGCAGAACTCCCTTCAGAAATATGCTGAGCCCTCCTGGCATTGCCAGCAGCTCTGGGCTGGGGGGATTAGGGCAGGAGGAGGCTACGGGTGGCTCTCTCTTGGTATGAGCTTTGTTGCCTCACTACTTTTTCTGTCCTCGGCCCCCAAGCAGCTGTGATGATCCATTAGGAAAGCCCCAAACATGGTGTTGGTGAGTCGCTACTTGCGAGTGGCCCAGGCCCATTCCCCCAGTCTGCTCTGCTTTTTGCCTGTCTGAGCAGTTGTTCCATGCAACCTCGTCCGGCTGTATACAGGTCACCGCTCACGGATTCCTCTCCTCACAGGTGATTGTCAAGACCAGAACAGAGTACCAGCTCCAGCAGAAGAAGAAGAGAAAGTTACATGTCCCAGGAATTAAAAAGCTGAACATAAACCTATACGATGAAGTATCAGAGAAGGTCAAGGTAAAGCATTCTCCAGCCCCCCCCCCCCCCCGCCTCAGCAGGGATTGTGATTTGGGGGATTGTCTCTCACATTGACACTGAAACGGGAAAAGTGAATAATCCAGATTAACTCAGTGAATAATCCAGATTAACTCAGACCAGCCCTGTTTTAGCCAGGAGAGGGGCCAGCGTGTCACCTCCCGCTCTCTGTCCTCAGAGGAGAAGCCAGCAGCCTGAAACTGGAGCAAGTCGATTTACATTCCTTACAGAACAGTGCATGGGCCGGTCTGTGCTGGTGGAGATCCCGCCTCCTTCATGGGCAGTGTGAGGGGGAAAGGGCAGAAGAGAAGGAGGGACAAGGGGGGGCCTGAGGCTGTAGAACGGTCTGTGCCTGGGGCTGCTTCCTCTGCTGGAGAGCGGAAAGGGTTAACAGTCCTACAGACAGGCCAGGAGGAGGTGGCTAGCATGAGATTCCCTGGGGATGGCCAGGAGGCCCTGGTGCTGACCAGCCCCCCAGGCAGTCACTGCAGTGAGTGTGTCAGGAAGGTGCCCTAGTCCAACAGCACAGGTGGAGTAGGGGGGAACAGGATCTGGTTTTCTTCAGGAGAAGCCACCCCTCTGCATCCCACGGAGGCTCAGGTGGCAATGGAAGAGGGAGAGGGAAATGGGGCCTGCTGGGAAAGGGCTTGTTCGGGGGACAGCAGGGGAGTGGGGCTGTAGGTGAGGGGCAGACTTAGAGAAGCTGGGTTTGAATTTTCAGTGCTTGGCCGAACCAAGGGCCAAAGCTGGGGTGTTTACCCATCCCTTGTGCCCCTCTACCTTGGGGTCCCTGGGCATATGGCAGTGCCATGAGCCCAGAGGTGAAAGTAAGCCGGTACGCCCCGGTATGGCATACCGGCAAGAGCTGGTGCGCCGTACCGGGGCAGCCCGGCTTCCCCAGGCAGCAATTTAAAGGGCCTGGGGCTCCCAGCAGCGGCTGGAGTCCCAGGCCCTTTAAATTGCCGCTGGAGCCCTGGGATAGCGGCAGTGGGACTCCGGGGGTTATTTAAAGGGCTGGGCTCCCGCTGCCTCTACTGCCCTGGGCCCTTTAAATAGCCGCCGGAGCCCTGCCACTACCCCAGGGCTCCGGGGGCTATTTAAAGGGCCGGAGCGGTAGAAGTAGGGGAGTCCTGGGCCCTTTAAATAGACCCTGGAGCCCCGCTGCCGGAGCCCCCGGCTGCTGCTGCTACCCCAGCGGGGGAGGGGGAGGGCACTTACCGGTACAGGGCGGGCCGGGGCTGGCTCTGACCCCCCCCATCCCTGCCCCTTCTGTCCGAGGCCCCGCCCCTTCTGGGGGCCAGACCTGGCCCCAACCTAGCCCCGTACCGGTAAGACCCTATTTCTACTTTCACCCCTGCATGAGCCTGGACACCGTGGGTCCCTGTAGTTCATTCACCTTAGGCTCAGAGGAGAGGCAGGATGGAGCCCGGGGACGACGGGTTTGTAGCCATTTCAGCACAAGGGTGTGGCTATTTGTTCACTGCTGCTGTTCCCGCCCCACAGGCTCACACACCCCCTGGCTCTGATATGCACTTGGCAGGGGCGTCTGCAGTGAACACCATGTGGACTGGGCAGTGACAGCAGACTCCCTTCCACATGGCTAACGTGGATTGACATAATATACTCCCTATGAGCCGGTCTCACTGCTACTGGGTTAACTGGCTGTCCGGTGACTTCTGCCTCCAGAGATGCAGATTGTTTGGAGGGCCCAGGCCAAACATTCTGCAGTGTCCCGATTTTCCTGGTGCGCTTTGTCTCCGGTCCCTTGAGAAGTCACACTGGCTGTTTCTTGTCCCTCTGAATTTCCAGGGTGATTGTCCTTAGCTGCACGTTCTTTAGGGCCCGTCTTAGGACTCGCCAGTCTTACCTCGCACTCCTGAATTTCGATCCTTCTCCTCATTGCACGTAGAGATCTCTGGGGGCCATATTCTGCCCTCCCTATTCACACTGAGTAGCCCGTGACTCAGGGGAAATCTGACCTTAATTTTCTTCATCCCCCCACGTGTGCTTTGTGGACACTTGAAACCCTTGAGCTTATACCGTGTCAGACTGTATAAGGGCAATAACATTCCCGGTAGGGTACAAGAGATACACACACTCAGGCAGGGCATTAACCAGATGAGATGGGTCAGGAAGACACCCCCACTCAGGAAGACACCACCCCCAGGCAGCTTATCCAGACATGCCCATTATGTTTTCTTGCCCCTCCCTCTGCAGCCTCTGGTCCTGACTATTGTTGGGTACCAGACCCTGGGCTGTTGGTCTGGTGTGCTGAGGCCATAGCCACATCCACACCCCTACAAACACAGCCTGGTTTTCAGTCCAGTCTCAACCTGACCTCCTGTTTGACAGCCATGGGTTAGTTCCTGCAGTGACTTGCGGCCAGGGGTGGTTAAAGCTGTTAGGTGCATCTAGTTGTCTCTTTGCATCCACAAACCTAGAGCCCGGTCTGAAAACCAGGCTTCTGATGCATTTCCTTTGCCCCCTCCCCCTACTCAGATTCCACCTCATATCTTCTGAGGGGGAAAAAAAAAAGAAAAGAAAAAGAGAACGAGCTAATGGGTCTCTAAAGCAGCTTCATCTAATCTGGGAGTGAACCCACTAATGTGCATAAATGTAGGGTGATTGCACAGCATCTCTGCAAAGCCGAGTTAAGGTTGTTTGGATGCTTTTCCATATCCTATTACAATGGTAGGATTTCTGTTAAGTTAAACTTTCCCTCTGAATTTCCTGGGTTTATAACACTTATTTGGGGGATAATTGCACCATCCCTATAATGTTTTTACCCTAAATTACTGATGTACTCTTAGACTTAACTCCATCTTGGGCTATCTTTTGCTCTGCAAAAAATCACAACAACTAGATACAACATCATCAATAACTGTCTTTAATTATAACCTAATTTCTTCAAATGGAACCTATGCACTGGATTTCAGTGAGTTTTACCTACATGGGAAGTCTGAAGAGGCTGGTCTGTTCCAATAAGGCCATTTGGGACAAGAACATGTCAGATGCAGTATGCTCCATTTCCTAAAGGACTCATTTGTAGTTTAACTTCTAAACTAATGAATGGGTACACTTGTAAATTCCCAGGCAGTCCGTTCAATACACAAAGGCTGAGCGCTGAGGATATAGTGTGCTCTTCCAAAGAGGATGTGTCCCTGGTATGAGCGCAAATCTTAACTCTGGTGTCCTCACCAACATCTCCCTGGTGTACTGGTGTATTCTGTCCATTGGCCTGGTCCCAGGGGCCCAGTTCTCCCCAGGGTCCCGGGGGATATGGAAAACTCCCTCTGGCATTACAAAAACCAGGACCGTGACCTAGTCCCTCTTCCCCTTCTCTTTGATAAGTCATGTACCTGAGTGCAGCATGTGCTGGTAGTGGGGAATTCCTGCTTCCCACACAGAGCTCTGCAACACATGTCAGCATCAAGGTGAAATAAACGGCCATGGGATCCATGTAGCACTCACCTAGCATTACCTAGGAATCACAATGAAGGGAGTGGGTTGCCTGGCCACTCCCTGGAGAGACAGAAGGGGCTGGGTTAGAATCCATCGGGTCTGCCGGAGAAGCTGTTTCTATCCATCGGGTCTGCCGGAGAAGAGAGGAGCTGGGTCTATTGGGGGGGGAGCCCAAGTCGTCTTCAGAAGCTGTGTGACCCTCATAAAGTTTCCCCTGGCTCTGAGCTCCAGCTGTGAGTTCCTCATACGTCTGGGAGCTGCAGCACATCCCCACTCGGAGCAGGGGCTGGGGGTCGGTCCCAGAGCTGGGTGAAAATTTCCAGCCAGAATTATTTTACTGAAAAAGGCAGATTTAGATCAACTGAGACATTCTGTGAATTTGTGTTGAATTCGCTGAATTGTTTTAATAAATAAAAATCCCCCCAAATAAAATGTTTCCTTTTGAAACGACTTCTCATTTTGAAATGGATTTCCATTTTATTTTGAAAAAAAAATGGAAAAAGGTTAAAGCTCTAAAAATGAAACAAAACATTTAGTTGGACTCAAAAACCATATTTTTTTTGAACATTTTGGTTAGGGCAGCGAACTGGAAAATCAGGTGCCTCTGACCGTGCCCCCATCCACACTGTACAACCCCTGTGGGATCAGGGAGTTTGAACTGGTGCGGGTGATGGAGAGGCCAGAGGCTGAGCCGCCCACAGAGGCTGGCTCTGCACAAGTGGCACAATCTGGAATGGGCAGAGATGACCCAAGAGATCCCTGTCTTCGCTGTCTGACTCACACCTGGGCCCTGGTGCTTTAATGCAGCTGTAAATAGCAGCTCTCACACTATGAGTCACAGCCAAAAATAGAACTTCAGAACCAACAAGCCAGCCCCCCCAGGAAGCTTTCTGTTGGAGGAAGCAGGGAAAGCTCTTTGCAGCCACTGGGTATAAGACAAATAACATCAGACCTTGCGCCACCCAGAGCCAGCCAGGCAAGTTCTGGAAGTGAAAATGAGCCTTCCCTTGCTGACTGACTTTCTTCGTATCCATGCAGACTGGGTGCCTGGCCTTAGCCAGTGTGCCTGAGGTGGGCACCGTGACACTGCCCATGCTCGGCAGCACCAGCGGGCATTTCCATCCCACGCTATGGAAGGAGAAGCGGCTTTATTGAGCGATTTATAAATGATGTCACACACGTTCTGTCAGGGCCAGTTCCTGGGGCCTGTTTTTCTCCCACCAGGGTATGAGTTATTGCCAGTGACATCACTCTATCTACTTATCTTGGGCCTACACATATTCCCCGCCCCACGGCTGCAGCTGCAATGGCCATCTGCTTCCCTCTGGAATCCATAGAGTCATAGAGGCCAGAAGGGACAGTTCCAACCATCCAGTCTGTCCTCCTGCCCACCACAGGCTAGCGAGCCCCCCACCCACCAGTAACTCCTGCAGGCAGCCCAGAACATGCAGTGGAGTTAGAGCAAATCCCTTAGAAAGAGACATTCTTTCCAGACTCCGAGTGACGGAGAACCCTCCATGTCTCTTGGTGAGCTGTTCCAGGGGCTAACTAACCTCCATTTAAAATGTGCTCCTTATTTCAAGTTTGTCCAGCATTAGCTTCCACCCACTGGATCTTGTTCTGCCCTTTTCTGCAAGATTAAACAACCCTCTATTATTGGAAATTTCTGCCCCAAGGAGATGCTTGTAGACCATGATCAAGTCACTTCTTAACCTTCTCCTAGATAAATGAAACAGACTGAGTTTCTTTAGTCTCTCACCGCAAGGCAGGTTTCCAGACCTGAATCATTCATATCGCTCTCTTCCAAATCCTTTCCAGTTGGTCCAGTTGATTAGAAATGCAGACACCAGATCTGGACATGGTATCCAGTGATGGTCCTACCAGTGCCATATACAAAGGTAACACCGCCCCTCTCATTGTAAGGTCTGTGTGGACACCTGACCTGGATATGGTGACGGTCTCATCAAGGCAGGGTACCCTCTCTCATTGTTTGTCGATGTCTTCAGGTTTGGGGATTTTTGCGAAAAATACACAAAACGTCTTCATCTGGGCTCATGCCAGTTGTTCTGTTTTGTTCCCTTTCCTTCCAGCTGACGGGGTTGATTCTCATTACGATGGCCTTCCTGGCCTGCCTGCTCATGCTGGTCATGTACAAGGCACTGTGGTACGACCAGCTGAGCTGCCCAGAGGGCTTTGTGTTTAAGGTAAGATGACCCCTGTCTCCCTCTGGCCTGTCTCGGTTATCGCCTTACTCATGGTGGTGCTGGGAAAGGAAGGACGCTGCCATCTCCTCAGTGTCAAATGTTTGCATTATGCTTTGCCCTGGCTCGCGTATGGGCCCCGATCTTGCCTGGTGCTGAGGGCCCTCAGCTGTCCATGCTCTCGGCTTTGGAGGATGAGCTCCCTTTGGGACTGTTGGGATGTTGTGCTTTTGAGAAGGTCAGTTGCTGAACCCTGACACTGGCCTGTATCGCCCAGTAAGTGTCTTGTAAGCGATGTTGACATGGAGGTGGAGATGAGTGTGGGTGAACGGTATAACCAGCTGATCACAGCTGCTGGCTGTGTTCTTTCTTCAGACACCCCATGTCCGCAGGGATCCTCCGGGGGGACCCCAGCAAGCATCACACCTGCAGAGCGAAATGCCTGCTCCTCTTGACTGGGGCAAAGTGTCCTATGAGTGATGTGAAGGAGAGATCTGCTGATACGATCTACCCAGTGGTACAACCATAGGGATTGCTGTAGCAATTTGCCTACCTTCCTCTGATACTGCGATGCCCAGAACTGAACTTGGTGCTCTTGTGCTGTAGAAGAGGGGAATTGTCAGTCTGTCTGTCTATCCCCAGGGAATCTGAATCAGCTCCCTCTTCCGACTTGCTGCCCTTTTGTATGCTGCCCAAAACGTAGGGGCTGTTTTACTGCTTTGTTTGGCAGCTTGCTGGGGCTGTGCTTTCCAGCACACTTCTAGCTCCTCCCCCCAGGGCTTTTTGCCAAGCATGTGCCTTACTCGGAGTACTTGTGTATCACTGATTAGCTTGCATTTGCCCAGGATCAGTCCAGTGTGTTATTTCTCACCCTTGGCAGTGCTCTGGCTACGTGAGCCGTTTGCACACCATTGTTGTACATGCCCAGACTGGCCTCCAGCTGGCACCCCTGCTGGATGATTTCAGAGCGCAATGCAGAGATGCAGGATGCCACTAAGAATGGCCCTTTCCCAGTGGAAACACATTTACTGCTTTGGAAAAAGAAACCCCTGTGTCTGTGCCCCAAGCAGCAGAAACCAAGTGCGTGGCTTCATGGGATGGAATATCCCCCCATCTTCAGGCTGGCAGGCTGTGACTGCTGGGCATCCGAGGCACAAAGGGGGGGTGCTCCAGGGTGTGTTCTTGGAGCAGAACTCTCCTTGCGCCTCCTCCCGGTGAGCCTTGACTCCTGTAATTGGCCTGTGTGTATGAGGAGGGCTGAATATCAGAGGGATGCAGCCTGCCATGTCGGGCTGGGGGGCAGGTGGTAAGGAGAGACCATGCCAAGGGCCCAATTCAGTGCAGGGTTTTTTGCCAGTGGAAGCTGGTGCTGACCCAGTGGGAGGAGCCCACCTGGAGGAAAGTTTACAAGGAGGGGACAGCAGTGGCACAAGGTGCCAGCAACTCCTGCCCTGCCAGGGGCCCATGCCCACCCCCAATGCTGCTGCCTGCAAAGGAGCATGGCCAAGGGAGCTGGGGTAGGCCTGGTCAGAAATCTTTTTTGATGGAAAATTGGGGTTTTGATGGAATGAAATATTTCATGGGAAGTGCCTGGTTTCCACGGAATGGTCCAAAAACGGGCAGCCTGAAAACCAAAATATTTCCATTGTGAGGCGGTGCCACGTGGGCATTGTAGTTTGGGTGCCTCTAACTCCCCATTCTCCTCTCCGGCCAGGCCACATTTCCCTAAGTGAGGGGTGTAATGGTCGAGGGGGTTCCACCGCTGCTGATACTCTGTGTGTGGGGGGCGGCACATGGTCGCGCCGTGAAGAGAGCACTGTGAAGCTGTGATGAACTGTGGTGTGAGTCACCCAAATACACATGCTTCCCGCCTCTCTTGCTGATCACTGTAACCCACCAGCCAGTGCATTCACTTCATGTCCCCCTCCATGCCCAGTCCACACAGGTTATGAGTCTGTGACAATCCGGGCCTGCGGCGTCTAGCTTCTCAGCCCAGGCTACAAAGACTTGTGTTTAGGGGCGGTGCAGTAGGCAGCCAGGCAAGTGTAATGCAGGGCAACCTGCTGCTGCAGCCTCCCCTGGTGGTACCTAATTCTGGGAAGTCAAGGAGAGGCAGGGAGTGTTTCGGGGAGTGAGTAAAGGCACAGAGGGTGCCACAGCAGATGACACTAAGCTGGGGGGAGAGAACCGATGTGGACAAATTGGAGAGAGTGCAGCGGAGGGCAATGAAAATGATTAGGGGCCTGGGGCACATCACTTACGAGGAGAGGCTGAGGGAACTGGGGTTATTTAGTCTGCAGAAGAGAAGAGTGGGGGGGGGGGGTGTGATGGGTTGGATCACAGAAACCCCCTTGGGAGCTGCCACCTGATGTGCAAAGACTACCCCTGCTTCTGTTTTCCCTGCCAGCTCAGGACTCCAGCACCCTGTCTTGCTGAGCGAGACACTCCAGTCTGGCTCCAACACAGACCCAGGGTCTGAATTACTTGTCCCAAAGCTGCAAGTTTACCTGAAAACAGCTCATAGAAGTGTGCTTGTCTTTAGCACTCAGATGCCCAACTCCCAATGGGGTCTAAACCCAGATAAATCCGTTTTACCCTGCATAAAGCTTATGCAGGGCAAACTCATAAATTGTTTGCCCTCTATAACACTGATAGAGAGATATGCACAGTTGTTTGCTCCCCCAGGTATTAATACATACTCTGATAAATTACTAAATAAAAAGTGATTTTATTAAATACAGACAGTAGGATTTAAGTGGTTCCAAGTAGTAACAGACAGAACAAAGTAAGTCACCAAGCAAAATAAAATAAAATGCGCAAATCTATGCCTAATCAAACTGAATACAGATAATCTCACCCTCAGAGATGCTTCAGTAAGTTTTTCTCAGACTGGACACCTTCCAGGCCTGGGCACAATTCTTTCCCCTGGTACAGCTCTTGTTCCAGCTCAGGTGGTAGCTAGGGGATTCTTCATGATGGCTCCTCTCCCCGTCTGTTCTCTTCCACCCCTTTATATATCTTTTGCATAAGGCGGGAACCTTTTGTCCCTCTGGGTTTCCACCCCCCCCCACTGGAAAAGCACCAGGTTAAAGATGGATTCCAGTTCAGGTGACATGATCACATGTCACTGCAAGACTTCATTGCTCACTTGCCAGCACACACATATACAGGAAGACTCACAGGTAAACACAGCCATCTGCGGATAATGGTCCTTGTTAATGGGAGTCATCAAGATTCCAAACCACCATTAATGGCCCACACTTTACATAATTACAATAGGCCCTCAGAGTTATGTTTTATATTTCTAGTTTTAGATACAAGAGTGGTACATTTCTACAAATAGGATGATCACACTCAGTAGATTATGAGCTTTGTAATGATACCTTACAAGAGACCTTTTGCACAAAGCATATCCCATTTGCATTATAGTCACTTATTATCAAATTTTTATAAAACTATCCCAGTTACATTATATTCACTTATTATCATGTTTTTATAAAACCATATAGACTGCACAATGTCACAGGGGGGATTTGATAGCAGCCTTCAATTACGTGAAAGGGGGAGGGGGTTCCAAGAAGGATGGAGCTCAGCTGTTCTCAGTGGTGGCAGATGACAGAACAGGGAGCAATGGTCTCAAGTTGCAGTAGGGGAGGTCTAGGTTAGATATTAGGAAACACTATTTCACTAGGAGGGTGGTGAAGCACTGGAATGGGTTACCTAGGGAGGTGGTGGAATCTCCTTCCTTAGAGGTTTTTAAGGCCCGGCTTGACAAAGTCCTGGCTGGGATGATTTAGTTGGTGTTGGTCCTGCTTTGAGCAGGGGATTGGACTAGATGACTTCCTGAGGTCTCTTCCAATCCTAATATTCTATGATCCCTCCAGCTGACCGTTAAACACGAAGCACTTCTCTTTCAGTAACTTTCCAATGGGATACAGTGTTATAGACACAGAACTGAATGAGACATGTCATTCAGCTGCTCACACCCTTCCGGAGGGTCGACCTAGAAGCAGTCTCAGCACCATAGCTTCTCCCTCTGATTCTCAGGCAGAGGCAGCTCCCCTTCTCCTTGATTCTGGGGACAGCTCAGCTACACCAAAGCTGGATAAAAAAAGTGTGAAATTAGCAAACAAAAACTACATTCAGTGACAGTTAATGTTGCATTAGGACTTGTCACTAACCCAAACCCTTTAAATGTGACCTCATATCAATTATGACCAAATCAGCCCATCTGACTGCCACACATACCATGCATTTGGGAACATATTCTGTCTTAACACAGCTGAGATCACTGGTAAGGTTTTGTGTTAGATGCAAGTTTGATGCTGTTGGGGCATGTGTTGCTTTTGGGTATTGGCTGGAGATGGAAGTGAGCTCTGTGGTGCGTTGGAGGGTGCTATTGAAGATGTAGACAATACAAAGGTGACAAGGATTGCAGGAATCTTTCCACTTAACTGCTTATTTCCAAGCTTTTAAGTTTATGGACAGATGGGATGTGTCCTGCATCAACCTGAACTGTCACTAAATGTAGATTTTGTTTGTTAACATGTATTATATGTTACACACACCGATGCACAGACAGACACACACAAGTTAAAAGAAAATTAAGGTTGCAAAGCCAAGCACTCAAAAGTTAGGAAATGCCAGAATTAAGACTGCCTGTACAACCTTAACTCTGTCCCTTTGTGTGTATGCATTCTGATACAGTTTGTAATGATGTGATCACAGACTATTTTTTCCACAGGAGGCAGTGGGGAGATGTGAGGGGATGGAGCATGCTCAGTGAGGGCAGAACCTTTGGAGAGTTTACTGCTAACATCTATGAAGTTTCTATGGAGCATGTGTCAAATGCGATTTTTCCAGTGGCTTATAACTTGGCCAAATTTAAAAAAGAATTTGCTAATCTGGGCAAAGCAGTGTATTTCCCCTCCCCTTGTTCTCTGAAACAGCTGAACTGTTTTGACTGAAATTTCCCCCTCAAAATCAGCCTGAGCCAAACACCTGGCAGGGGAAATGTTGGGCCTGCTTGGCCAGCGTGTTGGGAAGAGTGGGGGCTGTTGGTTTGTTGTGATGCTTCCCCAGCAACAGGCTCAGGGAGCAGTGGCGGGGGCAGGCTGTGTTGGGTGCTCCATCAGAACAGCACAGACAGGCCTGTTGGGAGGCTAGCCAGCCTGTTGAGGAGTGGACAAGGGCAGACCCCAGCTCAGTGTCTAGCCCCCTGGGGAGTCCCAAGGGTCAGAACTCTGAGGGGGCATCTAGCCCACAGATTCCTCCTGTATAGTGTGCCATGCAAGACCCACAGAACTTGGGGGGATGCAGGAGTTCCTGGCCCCAAAAGCTGCCCTGGACTCAGTGGGGCCAGGATTTCAGCCCTGGGGTCTTTTGGGGGACTTTTCTGCCCCCAGCAGTTTTTGTGTGGGGATCCCTGCCTAACTCCAGCAGGTCCTGTGGGACGCCAGTGGCTGCCCAGTTCTGCTAGGCCAGTCTGTGAAGACTGCAAGGTGCCAGCAGTGGCCCCCTTCCCCCACACTCCTCCACTTGACCAACATTGACAGCATAGACCAACTTCTCACGGGTCCCTGAGCACAGGGTGTCCATCTTCTCTGAGGGCTTCAGAAAAGGGGCAAAGGAGGGAAGGTGCACTGAGCTGGGAGCCAGGAGCCCATGAGTTCAAACGTCACCAATTCCACTCACTGCTGTTAATATTTGTGTGAATGTCACAGCCCTGATTATTGGCCAGTGCCGGGTGCCTCGGCTGCAGTGAACAATCATATGCCTGTTACAAACAAAGGAATTGAGAGCTTGCTGGAGAGGCTCCCCCCCTTGTGACAGCACTGCTGGGGCAGAGGTGAGGCAGAAGGCACTCCGTCCTTTCTTCGCCCTATAGCCTCCCTACCCTTCCCCCATCTACCTCCCAGACCATGTTGCCTCTCACGCTGACACCGTTGAAGCTAATAGTCTAGGTTTACCCCACTCAGGCAGGCAGGATTTGGCCCATCTAGCACATTAAGGACATCTGAGGCCTCTCCCCACTAGGATAAAAGGCAAGTTTTAAAGACACGCTCCCTAGTAGACTTGAACTAATATGTTCTCAAACTCTAGGGCAGCCGGGGCAGGCTGCAGGCTGTTAGCTGGTCAAGGTGAGCCCTAGTGGGGAGACACCAGCAGACATGGGTTAAAATCAGGGTCGGCTCCAGGCACCAGTGGAGGAAGAGGCGGCATTCCGTCCATTCTTGGGGCGGCACAGTCCGGGCAGCTTTTTTTTTTTTGTTGCTTGGGGTGGCAAAAATGGTAGAGCCGGCTCTGGTTAAAATACAATCTGTCCTGCCTGCGTGAGGATTTTAAGGGTTTGTTCAAAGGGGCTAGCTGCCGTGTTTAAGCATATGCTAGCTGTTCTAGCATGGAAAGGTCCTATCTGATGTAGGACAGCAGCCGGGATCCTGCTACTAAATCACTGAGAGGCTTTTGAAATTCCCCATCCTGCACCTTCCCAGGGCGGGGCCCAGCCTTTCTCTTGTCCTAACTCCTGCGCGTGCTTCCTGTGGGGAGAGCGGCTCGATGAGACTGGGGAACATGTCAGAAGCTGGAACCAGCTCTGCGTGAGATGTTTGCCATTAAACCCCAAACTCAGGGGAGATCACCTGGCTTCCAGGAATTTGGGATGGTCAAAAATTCTCAGTTGAAATGATTTTTGAGAGAAAATGGGGGTTTGGGCTTTTCATGAAAAGTGCCTGTTTTCTGTGGAAAAACCAGATACTCCCAAAATGAATATTTCAATCTGGAGATCCTGATGCATGGCCTCATGGGAGTTGTAGGTCAGATGCCTCAGGTCCCGACTGCTTCACGTCCTCTATGGGCCGGGCTCCCTGACCAGATGATATCTCCCATAATGCAACACAGCCATGAACTCCCATGATGTGGCTGCCTCCCAGCACCAAGAGGAGGAGCATGGGGGATGTAGGCAGGCCAGGGAACCCAGCATATATAGGAGAATGGTCACTGAGTCAGAAGTCGAAGCCCATCCACCCTGTTTCCCAGCTCGGACAATTAGACAGGGAGCAGAATTCTGCTTCCTGATGCGAATCCAGAGGAACCCGTGTTGCCAGTGGAGTTATGCCAGTGTAAAGAGACGCCGCCCCAGGGAGTGGATCAGCAGGCACTACAGGGGGTCGAGTTATCTGCATCCTTTCTCTTGCCGCATGGAAGAGCATGACCCAGCACAGTTATTGGTTACAAGGGAGCTTGGGGCCCAGCCAGCGTCCCTGCTCCCTCTGCTTTCTAACCAAGGCCTGCAGGTCTCTTTTGCTCATGGTGTTTTCTGTTCTTTTCCCCAGCACAAGCACTGCACTCCCGCCGCGCTGGAGATGTACTATTCAGAGCAGGAAGTGGGACCCCAAGGAAGTCTCTACACGGCCATTAACCACTTAAATCAAGGCAAGAAAACCGTCCCTGACCTGCCTTCCCCTTGGTTACCGGTCATTAATGCCTTGAAGAAAGCTGAGAAAGGCAAAGAGGATCCGGCTGGCATTCAGCAGTAAGGGACAGGAGCCAGACACACCTGGACTGTGGTTCCAGGAGTGCGTGTATTAACTTCAAGGAGAGTATTAATCCATTCAAAGCTAGTTTTGTGTCCCAAATCAACCAACAAAAAGACAATGCTGAAAGGGCGCCTAGGGCAGGAACAAATTGTTTTCTTTCTGGCACAGAGAAGAGATTTTGCTCCATTCTGAGAGATGCCCCTCCCCCAATCTCTTGAGCATAAAAACGTTGTCCGAATGGTTATTCTTTGCTTTTCTTTATTTCTGTATTTATAATGGGGGCTGCCTGGGGAATCTGTCGGCATGGCGGCCGAGTAGCCATTAGAACGCCATGCCACGCCAAGGCTGAGATAGTGTTTTTCTGCACCTCCATGGATAATTTGAGATGGACTGAAGTAATACTCTTCTTCGTGCTATACAGGGGTTAGCTTTTGTCTGCACACATTGCATTAACCCCAGAAGGACCTTTCGGTCCCTGTCCAGTAGTGTTTCGTTAATGGTTTTTCGACACGGTGGTTGCTGAGTGCCCATGACCTTCTTCATGTCAGGAGGGAAGAAAATAGGCTATGGGCAGACCACAAAAATAGCAACCTTTTAGAGCAGCTAAGTGCTTCAGTGTTGCTATCCAGTGCTGTATGGAGGCAAATGTTAACACGCATTGCACTTTAATTTGAGTAAGCTTTTAAATGTCATTTATGCTTCGCTAGTCTCAGTTGCAATTTGATTGCTAATTACCAGGCTAAATCTGACACCATTTAATTACATTGCTGCTGGCTAGGGTACCTTTTTTGTTTGGTCATTAACACATCTTCAAGTCTGTAGGATCTGGTTGGTGTGAAATCACTGTGCCACTCTCGTTTGCACCGTGTGTTTGTGTGTGTGTGTGTACTGCTTTTAGGCCCTCGTTGTGGAACATCACTGGCGATTTTACACCACTTTGTATATTTTTATAGAGATTGTGATTTGTCACCTTGCAGCAAAGCACTTCCAAGTGTCTCCAAGTGCCAAAATGAATGTGGTGATCAGCAGCTTTTCTGTAAGTAAAAATAAATGTACATCTTCACCATGGCTTATTCATTCTTCTCCCGGTTGTAATTGGTTTTGGGGTTTTTTTTGAGTCTTTCTTTGTAAGGGCTCAGCAATGCTGACAGCTGTGCCAAGTCCAGCCACCTAACACGGAAGTGTAAAAAGAGGTAATCAAATTCACCGTCACTGGAGCACGGTCCTGCGTCAGGAGCCCAGTCCAGTCATTGCTCCGGCATTGGGAAAGTGCCATGGAATTTAATAGCTTTAGAGCGTCCTAGATGTTAAGGCCAGATGGGACCATTCTAATCACTCAGACTGACCGCCTGTATAGCACAGGGCAGAGAGCCTCACCCAGCGACTCTTGCAGCCAGCCCAGAACTCCTGGTTGAGCTAGGGCATGTCTGATTTCAAGGAATGCCCCACACAATTGGCCTCCCTGTTGAAACATCTGTATTCTTAAATATTTCATTTGCATCCATAGCTCTGAGCTCGCCCCCAGGATCTTGGTTTTGGGTTCGATGCAAATCTGAAAAGGGCCAATTTTGCTCATTTGGAGTCTGAACCACGACTCTGTCCAGACTGAGCCTCAAAATTGGAGCCCAAACCTTGGCCTTGACCTAATCTAGATTCAAACACGTCCTTACTCCCTTTCTGCTGTGGGAGTTGCTTGTAAAACAGAGTGGTTGGGAAAAGGCCCAAAGAGAACCAACCTCCCCAGCCTTTCCCCAATAGCAACAGGCTCTTGGCACCTCAGGGGCTGCCGGGCGCCATAGAGAAAGTTTACAATGCTGCAGGGTTGTCAAGGTTTTTCAGTGTGTGCTGCCATGTGGGCTGTCTCTCTCTCTCACTAACCTCTGGCTTCGTTCGTTATTATCCACATTTGGCACTAGGACAAAAGTCACCCGTGACTGTGACACACTCCTGGCTCTGATGCTGCACAGCACTGTACAAAGGAGCCCAGTATTGTCACCCTGTTTCACAGAGAGGGGATGTGGCAGAGTTAGAACTCGAGCCCACGTCTCCTGCCTTAGCCACTGGCCCATATGCTGCCTGTGGTGTTTGGCTGTTCCCTGGAGCAATGGAGAACCCCTAGCTCAATGGCGCTGACTCATGTAACAGTTAATGCAATAACATGAGACCTTTCCAATCATCAGTGTGCCCTCTCGGGCCTAGTACAGTACGGCAGGGAAAGAACAAACACTCCCTCAGCCAGCCGCTAAAGTCACTTCCTGCACCTTTGGAGTTTGTCGGTGGGTTCTCCGTCTGGTTTTCTTCCTTTGCCAAAGACGACAGACCAATCCAATTGCAATCTCTCCCCGTGCGCAAACGGAAAGGCTTTGAGCTGTACTTGGCAGAGAGACTTTCCGAGTCTTGGTAAAAGAGCCCAGCTTCTTGATTCCGCTTTTGATTTTGCATGTTTTAATTGGTCCCTCCATATGGTAACCCAGAAGAGAGTCCCTCATCACCTTCCCCTGGGCTTGCAGCCAGGGAGAGCCCACTCTGGGCTTCTGGGCCCATCATTCACCTGTGGGGGAGACACCCCGCTCTCGACAGTGATGAGTGAAGATCAGGATTCCCTGAGAGGCTCTCTGGTCTGCCAGCTGCCTTGGATGTCCCTCCCCAACAGGGTTTGGTATCATTCATGTTTACATGGATAACCCTGCTCCCAGTATCTGCTGAACTCCTTGTCCCCAAAGCAGAGTTCAGTGTGCTTGTGCCAAATGCTGGTCGAGCTGGTACAGTCAAGCAGCAGTTGGGAGCAGGGGGGTTTCAGGCAGGTGGGAGATATGCACAGCTTGCAGAAGTCTCCACTTCTTGCTCTCTGAAGAGCACCATGCAGGTGCCCTGAGAAGGGCTGTGGCTAGAACGCGGCTCCCCTTTGGAGTTCCAGGCACAATCCACACGGGTCTGTGGCTGGCTGGTGAATGAGGAGTAGAGAGCTTTGGCAAATGAAGTTTTCTGCACTGGATACAGATAACCTTGCTGAACCTCAGGGCTGGTGGAGAACCAGGAAGTGATGTATGCTGCTAGCTGCATTTTGTCCTGTATGCAGAGATTATAGCTACAATTCCCAGCAATCTCCCCTTCTTTTTCTCTTCTGCAGAAGTTCCATGGACATGTACAAATTTCAGGCCTTCATAAATAAATAATTCACAGTGGAGAGAGCTAAATAGCAGGGTCCCCCAAAGATCTCTACTGGGACCAGGGCTGTTCACCATATTCATAAGTGATCTGGAAAAAGGGGTAAACAGTGATGTGGCAAAGTTTGTAGATATCCAAAGCAGACTGTGAAGAGTTACAAAGGGGTCTCACAAAACTGGGTGACTAGACAACAAAGTGGCAGATGAATCACTCGATAAATTGCCCTGTTCTGTTTACTCCCTCTGAAGCCTCTGGCACCAGCCACTATCAGAAGACAGGATACTGGGCTAGATGGACCATTGGTCTGACCCAGTCTGGCTGTTCTTATGTTATTTCTTTCTATGTACAGTTACATTTACATGTAAATAGACAGGAAATGGAGATAGGTACCTGATACTCCATATAATGACATGAGTGCAATAAGAAACCAATTCTAAGTACTCTGCTCAGAAATATTCATTAACAGAATACAATTATAGATGTGAGTACATGGCTCAGTCAGGAATTAGACAGGAACAAAGGTTCACTTTAAACTGCTGTACATTTCCAAGGGGGCCTTGTAACACTTAAACATCAGGCCTTTTTCCAGGAGTTGTTTCTGTAGCTGTGCCCAGGACCATGTTAGTACAAAGGAAATGGAAGTATCTGCCTGGGAATTCCATGTCAGTCTAGGAGAGTGTGGTGGGAGGGTGATTAACAGGCACTGCCATGAACCAAGTTAAGCCATGGGGTCAAACTTTGGTTTGTAGAATTTTGCAGTAAATACATGTATCAAAAAGAATAACTACATAGTAATTATCCTTTGGCTGCCATGTAGGTAATGTACCAGGATTTTTACAAATATGTGTTCAATATGAGACCAAAGGGGTAACATTAAGTAATTCAGGCATTAAAGTGAAGTTTCTCGTTCTGTGCAATAGTGTTAATTACAGGTATCAAAAATTAGAACCACCCTGAATTACAAAGAAATTGTACTGTAATCAGTGTCCCTGTATTTCATTATCTCTATGGCACTGGACGAGTACATGGAGTTAAATAACAAAGTCACTGCTCCAAAGAGCTTAGAGCACTGGAGTTACAGGCGTTGTTATTCACCTTGTACTCAGATATCTACCGATTCTTTTCTTTGGGAAAATGCTGGGTTTTAAGAAGAAAACATACTCCAAACAGACAAAGTAGATCCAGTCCCTGATAGCTGAAGAGCCATGCACTTTAGCTGAGCTCTCCAGCATGCAGTTCCTACACTTCCTTCTCTCTCCAGAAAACAGGGAAGTTAACATGGAACACTATTCACTTCTCGAGTATGGGGCTCCTCTCTCTCTGAGCATCACCCTGTTATACACAGGCTCTGTCCCACCCACCCCACAGAATGGCGTAAGAATGGGGATCACATACGAAAGCCCTCCAGCTACATATGCATGTAGTCCATGCTTCCATGAGCTGTCTCTAGGGTTGCCAAGCGTCCGGTTTTCGACCGGAACACCCGCTCGAAAAGGGACCCTGGCGGCTTCGGTCAGCACTGCCGACCGGGCCGTTAAAAGTCCTGTCGGCGGCACAGCAGGGCTAAGGCAGGGTCCCAGCCTGTCCTGGCACCACGCTGCACCCCAGAAGCAGCCAGCAGGTCTGGCTCTTAGGCGGGGGGGGGCAGGGTGCTCTGCGTGCTACTCCCACCCAGAACACCAGCTCCACACTCCCATTGGCCAGGAACCGTGGCCAATGGGAGCTGGGGTGAGGGGGGTGCCTGTGGGTGAGAACAGCGAGCGGAGCCTCCTAGCCACCCCTCGCCTAGGAGCCAGACCTGCTGGCTGCTTCTGGGGCACAGTGCAGAGCCAGGATAGGCAGGGACCCTGCCTTAGCCCCACTGTGCCACTGACCAGGAGCCACCCTAGGTAAGCCCACGACCAAGCCCCTGCCCCAGCCATGAGGCCCCCCCAAACCCAGAGCCCCCTCCTGCACTCCAAACCCCAGAGCCTGCACCCCCCAGACAGAGCCCTCATCCCCCAATACCCCAACCCCTACCCCAGCCCAGAGCCTCCTCCCACACCCTGAACCCCCCAGCCCAGAGCCTGTACCCCCTCCTGTACCCCAACCCCCTGCCTGAACCTGCAGGCCCCTCCCACACTCCAAATCCTTGGCCCCACCCCCCAGCCTGGAGCCCCCTCCTGCACCCATGCTCAGGGCTCTGCTCAGCATGCTGTGTAGATATTCCAAGAGGTGGAGATCAATGCTGCTGAGAAGGCAGGCTGTTAGATCTACAATGCAAGGAAAGGGCCTAGGCACAGCATAGGAAAAATCAATTTGAAATGGTGCATTTGCAATACAAGCAAACATTGGCTACTCTTTGAACTACTGCTGAAGCAGGCCACAAGGGAAAGCTCTGACTTTGG